ACTCATTATTTTTAGATAGTTTGTAATTATTTTGAGATAAGTCCTTATTTTAAGAAAACGCTCATTATTTTTGAGATGCCAACTCATTTTTGAAATATTCACTCACTATTTTTAAGAAAATTTCTCATTGTTTTGAGATACTAAGTCCTTATATTGAGAGAAAGTTTCTTATTATTTTTGAAATACTGAGCCATTATTTTGAAAAAGCTTATTATTATTTTGAGATACTAAGTCACTATTTTGAGATGTCATTTTTTTTAAGATACTAAGTCCTTATTTTGAAAAAGCTTCTTATTGTTTTTGAAATACAAAGTAATTAGTTAGAGATAAGTCATTATTTAGATAGCAAATTTTTTTTATTGTTTTGAAACACTGAGTCATTATTTTGAGAAAGCTTATTATTATTTTGAAAAACTAAGGGATTAATTCAAGAAAGCAACTCATTATTTTTTTGAGAAACTTTCTCATTTTTTAAGATACTTTGTAATTATTTCAAGATGAGTCCTTAATGTAAGAAAAAGTTCCTCATTATTTTGAGATACTAACTCATTTTTAAAATACTAACCCACTATTTTTAAGAAAAATTCTCGTTGTTTTGACATACCAAGTCATTATCTTGAGAAAGTCTCTCATTATAATGATTCACAGTGGGGTGTTTTGTTTTTTTTTTAACATCATTTAGGTGGAAATAATAAAGACAAAACCTACACATGCAATCAGTAGCAGTTGCAGCCTTAATTAGTTTATAACTGCTCTGTTTCCTTTATCCCTGTTTTCACTCCTCCCTCCTGTTTGTGTCATCCTCTTCAGCTCAGGCAACTGCTGCCTTCCAGGCACGCTACTCGGACACCTTCCCCACCAAGGTGTGTCTGCAGCTGAAGATCCGCGAGGTCCGCCAGAAGATCATGCAGACAGCCACACCCGGAACCCTTGAGCCTGAAGCCAGCCCCGCTCCGTCACACAGCTCCTCTTTCAATCAATCAGCCCGGGAGGACGGAGGGGCGGAGCATCAAGGAGACAAAGGCCGGAGCCCTGAGGAGCCGAAAAGCGAAGGATCATAAGCTGGAGAGGATGACAAAGAGGAAAAATCAAGGAAAAGAAGAGAGAGAGGAGTGTGTCATCCCCGCAGAATGTTCTTTTATGTGTTGAACCAGTACTATGATGGGCTCCAGCAGGATCCGTTCTACTGGCACTAATTTCCACCAGACCTGGGCAGAAATACATTTGAATATAGTCAAACTACTCAAGGTGCGCTTGATTCATCTAATCAGACTTAATAAAAAAAAAAACCTCAAGAGTGGATGCATCCATGCAAGTCCTGATGAGTCAAGTGTGTCTTGGAGTATTGTTTTCCCTTTTCATTTCCAAGTATTCAGAATATTTTCAGTTAACACTTCGCCCAGGTCTGCTCTCAGCACATTTGTACAGTAGTTTGTAGGTTGACACACAAACTCTGTGGTACACACTCTCTATCTCTCTGGCGCACACACACACAAACCCTGGTGCATATGTAATCTCCAGCATGCACATGATCCCACATAAACACACATACGCGCGCGCGCACACACACACACACACACACACACACACCCTTACCAAATCAGACTGTTACTCTTGGTTGGCAGTCCCCTGGAGCAGCCACCAAGGACCATGACACACAAAGGCACTTTGTCACTTATTGTGCAGATGCAGTTTGCTGTTGCCAGCCAGCCAGCCAGCCAGCCAGCCCTCAGATGCCATTGACTTGACCTCCTTCTCGCCCTTCCACTCCTCAGCACAGTGGTTGGGACACAAACACAACCCCAACGACCTCCACTGATATTCCACAGCCCCTTGATGCTGCAAGACAGACAGCACACACACACACACACATATACAGTACACGCACACACACACACACACACACACACACACACACACACACACACACACACATACGCAGTGCATGGACATGTCTGTGCAGTGTGAGCACTCGTACACAAACATAGTCAACCCTGGTCTGACCAAGCCATTGGCCTGCACAGTTTTTAGTGATTGTTGTGAGAAGAGAAACTGAAAGCATGACATCTATTTGCTCCTGGAAAACAAAAAGAAGGCAGGAGTTGGGATGTAGTGTGACCAATCTTTGCACCTTCAGTTATTGCCATTATGAAAGACTGAGTCCTCATTGGCGGGAGCTGATTATATATGTCTGTATGTCTGTTGGGGTCCCCGCCCCAAAGCCTGTGTGAACAGGCACCGTAAAGAGATTATGTAAAGAGACTATTGGTTGTGAGGCTTTGAAGAATCAACGTTAAGTTCGACACTGACCGGCTCCTGACAGAGCACAGAGAAAAGGCAGAAGAAGAACCTGGACGATGATCATTGGATGGAAGATTCATATTCCAACTATAGGAAGACAGATAATAATAATGAATAAGGACAACAACAACATGACAAGCTTACCAACAGAGTGAAAAAGTAGAATTTTAACCAAACTTCTCTGAATCTCCCCGTGGATATAATGTTGCTTTCTCTCGTTATCGTTGCCGTGGAAATAACCAGTTTTACCGTGGCCTGTTTTTCTCTTGTGGCTCTATTGTGTTTCTTCTCCAGCATAAAAAAAAAATCGCAACAAAAAAAACAAAAAACTCTGGACAAAGAAGGGGACAAAATCAGTCTGTGCCCCCCCACTTTTAATTGTACCTGGGGCGGATCTCTCCCGCACCCCGTCACCCCCCTTCCCTCCTCTTCGTTTTCTCACCAGACACAGAAGTGGGGGAGCAGGGGCGTTTGTCGTTTTGTAAAAACGTTGAAATCAGGTGTTTGCACAATTTGTGCGGCCCTTCTCGCCGCAAGTTAAATCAGGAAAGTATTGTTTTTAGAGATTGTTTTAGTAGAAAAAATAATAACCTTGTTCCGTATGTTATCAACCACCTTATTCCTCCCCTTGCTCTCCCTGCTTTTCCTCTCCTTTCAACCCATCTCTCCTCAGTCCTCTCCTCATTACCTCCCTCGACCCCCCCTCAAGTGTTGTTAGAAAGTGCCCTTAAGCACTGGTCCCGGGTCAAGCGCTATGTAGCTCAGGATGGTTTTGGTTAGGGTTAGTTCAGGGAAAGCAGATCCTAGACCAGCCCTGGAGGGCAGTCTCTGGAGCCCTCCCCTCTTCCCTCTCTTCTCGACACTTTATCCTTTCCCGTCAAATGGTGCAATAGGACATATATTTTTTTTTTTTTGGAAATGGGTGGGTTATTTTGTTTTTGGGGGGAAGGCTCTGTGCCATAGATATTAAATCCAGTGCAGTCAGTCAGTGAGAGGAATGAGCTGTTGTGATACTGTCTTTAACTATGGTATAAAACAAAACAAAAAAGAATCACACAATTATTGTTATTGTTGAAGAGATAGAGAGTATAACTTACTAAAAGTCAAAGACAATTTTTGAATAGCACTTTTTGGCTCTTTGCTTCCTTGGTGAAGAGTGGGGGTAGTTATTATTATGGGTATCTCTTTTATTTCTCTGTATACAGTTGGATGTGTGAAAAAAAATATATATACCGGTATTTCCATATATGTGCATTTAGGTCTGTGTTTGGGTGTGTGTGTATGTTTTGGCACATGCAGGTAGTGTGTTAACACAACTAACCTCTTGTTCTTTCTCCACACAGCAACATTATCAATAGTATATTTTTCATTGTATTCTACATTCTATATTTACTCTAGAGACAGTATTTTTATAGTCACCATGACTATTTTGTCCGCCATCTTGACTGTTATCAAACCCAGTTGATTCAGGATATATATGAAATATATATTCAGGATATACAATATATAAATATATATATAAACACACACAGGTAATAGAGGACTGTCAATTCACATCTCTATGGGGTTAGGGCTGTAAAGTGTCCATCTGCATGCATGTGCAATCACATGCGGGCGTGCACACACCCACACAGACAAATGTGCATACACACACATGTATGCGTGTACACTGTATGATTGTGCTTAAAAATAAACTGTCCTTACTTTGGAGAAGGAATTTTAGGATGAGCGAGGTGAGTGTTATCTCATAAGCAGGCATGTTGACCATGTGCAATATTTCTAAACAACAACAAAAAAACTAAATATTGAAAATATTAAAGATCTAACACAATGTTGTATGTCCTTGAATTTATTTCACACTCTCTCACGTTTGTAAAGTTTTTATCAGTCCACAGGCAAAGGGTGCAAAGTTGACGCAAATTAATCCTCACTTGAACAAATTTGGCTGTAGACAAATGAACAGGATCCACAGATGCAGCCACTGGGCAAGTCCCCCAAATCCCTTGAACACACAGCATGCACTTCTCCAGCTGCCCTCTATCAAGCATCTCAGTGTTAAGAGTGCTTATTGGATTAGAGTAGCCTTTCAGATTCAGGTCATATTGGGTGAGAGGTGGGTTGAGGTGAGGGGACCTTGTCAGAGAGCCTTCCTTATCTGCAAAAACACTCTGTGGGAAGCCTTAAGTTATGACAACCTGCCCAATTCAAACCAAACAAGCCCTATGACTTTATCTGTGGATACTTTTGCCCAAACAAGACATATCACCCTTTTCATTAGTTATTTTTCAAAAGATTACATAAAAGCCTTTAGTTTTAAGCAAATCTTGTTGAAGTTTTAAACAATATCACAACAATGAACCTCCCAAGTGTCAGGCAAGTATTTCCTTTCCATTGTAATTTTACAATTAACAGTGCTAATTAGCAGGTTTCAAATATCTGTCTCATCTGTATTATAGAAACGATCTCTGTGCAAACTGCAGTTATCAAGGTAAAGTCAGTGATTTATTTAGGAATTTTATCTTAAAAAAATGTTGAGCATTTCATTTTTATTGCAGTATATACTGCTCTTTCTCTGGCCTACATCCACTGTTAAGTCATTTTAAATTTGTAGTTGTTTTGATTTGTGAACGCCTGTGCAGCAAACCTGAGCAACAGCTACTCCGAACTTCATCTCCCAGGTGGCATTGCGAGCGGTCTGTTTCTAGGTGTCTAGCAACAGCTATCAGCCCAGACAGCCGGCGGCAACGGGAGCGGTATTTCTCGGTGTGTCTTTCCACGATTATTCGCTGCCGGGTATTCATAATTAATAGTCACTTGGCTGAAAATAGTGGAAAAAACAACCCTGACCCCTGCACAGAGATATGAGCGGCAGCGGGCGGCCCAGGACCAGCTCGTTTGCTGAGCCGCCAGGTGTTCCAGGAACCGCCGCTGCGTCCACCGGATCAGCCGCTGCCGTGGGGAGCAGCACAGGAAAGTCCGGGGTCCCGCAGGCCTCCGGCAGCAGCTCGTCGGGATGCTCGAACCTTAAGCTTGCCAGTAAGTTCTAATTAGCCACCAGCTTTTTGTTGAGGTCTGTCTATATCATAAATATTATCCTGTGCTTTTATCTCAAAAATGTCTATCAGTGTTATGTATCACAACCCGGAGGAAAGTCGTTATTGCTCCTGTGTAGCGGTAACCAACTTGCTAGCATGCTAACTAGCTAGCCTGCTAACGTTAGCCACTTGTTTTGTATGTTACTAGTTCCCCGTCCGGCCGATAGATGTATTTAGCCTTACTGATATCAAACTAAGCATCTGCCTGGTCATCACTATAACCCAGTGTAACGTTAGGCTTTTTAACGAGTAATTTGATTTACTGATATTAAAATACAACATGAGGATCTGATTGATTTCACTGTGGTCAATATGAGCGAGCAGGAAAACGGGGCTCTGTTGTTCTTTGTGGCCAAGCCAGACCCTAATACCTAAGCTTGAGTGCTGCATTTAAGGATCTTTTTGCGGATGTCGTTGAGAGTGTGGCATCAGCTATCAGTCTGGCTCGCCTGGAGAGGGGTCAGGGCGGAAAGTTGCCTTTTCACCAAGGTCACCTGTGGGGCAAAGGCTTAGCAGCAGGTGGCCGACGCCTGGAGGATGCAAGTGATGCATATCCAGCTCAAGAGCTGGGCTGTCTGCTGGGATGCCAAGGAGTAGGTTTCATCTGTCAGAGATGGAGTTATAGTATGCCTCTTTATCACCATAGTGACAGGTGTAAGCTGAGATCTGTGTGTTCATCCAAACCTTATCATCCATTAGCAGACAGTGGTGTGTGACTTTGATATTAGAGCCCAAATAGGGGGTCATCTGCAGTTCAAAGCAGTGTGACCCTTGTTTCTGGTTTTTCCTTTTGCAGCACTGTCTGAAGCCGTCAAAGCCACAAATGTTGCTGGTAAAGATACTCTTAGTGGATGATTGATGGATTTGTGGTCAGGTTTGCGAGACCTGGAGGCTATTTCAAGAGGCAGGATTAACCCAGTTAGCCAGTTACTTGTGAGAGAAAATGATGTGATTTGACACTTTGAATTACTGGTAAAATTAAACTTGGACATGGAACATTAAGGATGTTGTGTTGCCATACCAACCAGTGGTCTGTCATTATGAAAAACAGTGGAGGATGTTTGATGATGAAATGTTAATGGTCCTGTTTATATACATATATATATATATATATATATATATGTGTGTATATATATATGTATGTATGTATGTATGTATGTGTGTATATATATATGTATATATATGTGTATATATATAAATTCTCCTCATGCTGTAACTCTAAAGTGTGGTATTTTGGTACTTATAGTCTGGAAGTTAACTTCTTTTTTTGGTAACACAGTGTAAACCTAAACAAAAATATTTAACTGCTGATCAGCCACTTTATGGGCTGGAGTGGTTATATGTTTGTTACCCACCCATTTGTCGAGGTATTAGGTTGTAATGCGCAGACCCAGTAGATACACAGTGTCTGACACAATATAGCAGCTGGTGCAGATGTCACAAGGAGAAACTGACAAGCCCAGACATGAAGTGTCAGTGAAAGAGCCAATAAAGGGGTGGCAGTGCACTACCAGAATGACACTTAATGAACTATTGAAATGTGATGGCATTTTTCCTGGTATAGTTAATTAGGCACTGGTTTTATTCCACTTACTAAACGTCATGTCATCAATTGATCATTCCTTTAGGTGACACTTTTGGTGTTGGTCCACTAACAGTGAATCATTGTGTTCACAGAGTTTTTGGTATATTGTAAATGTATTACACCCAAGGGGATTTGAAAATAAGACTCAAGGCAGTAAATCAGAGAACTTCGCCACATCTCAGTGTAATTACCACGGCTGCTGTGACAGTGTCCGAGCAGTTGTTCCATTATTCACTGTCCATGGAGCAGCTCCAGGATTTGTCTCTGGATGACATCATCACCACATTCTGTCTCTCCACTGTCTGGCTTAATGAGAAATGTTCAAATTCACAAATTAAATTGAGCTATAAAATATTGGGGGGGAAACCGTCAGTGAGGTCGGATTTTCCCTTTAATGACACAATAATAACAATTGCTTTATGTAAATTTTACCTACTGTTTACTGAGAGGCATGATCATGATCCACTGGGAAGTGGTCATTGTGTTGACTCTGTTTTTGTGGCAGACTGTCACATGAGCACAGTAACTCCAGAACAATAGATAATTGATAGAAACCTCACACTTACACCAGAGGTTCTCCCTATAGAGCAGATGACCTGGTTTGCTTTTTGGAAGATCTTGCTGCATTAAACTGCATATTAATAAGGTAAATTTAATTCTTTTGAAGACACTTTGCTTTAATATATGGAGTTCATGTAAGTACAGTGTGTTTTTTGTGTATGAAGACATTAACATAGAAAATCTGCCATTTAATGCATAAGTCAGAATCGTTTGAATATTTCATTTGTGAATTTGGTGGACAGTGTGTATTCATGTGCTTCTTGTTGTAACATCTCTCCAAGACTTATCTGGGTTTAAGAGTACAAAATATATAGGCATGGATGTGACAAAGTTAAAAAAAAAAAAAACGGCATGTCTTTAAGGGACTTGAGTTTCCTTCTGTGAATGACAGGAAGCAGAGTGTGACACAAACAGTGAACTCCGACACAATGAAACAATGATAAAACAGACACACTGAGGAAGCCAGACTGAGGCATCGTCTTTATTAAGATAGATTATTGACCCCAGGGAAGTTTCAATCCTGTGAAAGTCGTTTTTTTCCATACTGTAAAAAAATGAATGGCAGTATAATGAGAGCCCTGATATCTTGAGGTGTACTGTACTATGCATCAGCAAGAAAAATGTAAGAGGAGGCGCAATGTGGACAGTTGGTATAAAGTATCCTTTAACCATCTGTCCTACTTTTAACCTGGAGCCCCATGGGAGTGTGTATTCATGAACCCAGTCATTGAGTTAAGAGAACCCAGTGACCCGGTCACTCTGCAGGCCTCACACTTTCAGCTGTAATAGATATCACCAGCTTGCCTATTGGATGACCACCACAGTTTTGTGGCTGAGGACAGTTTACTGTGCGTGTGTAGTTATTGACGCACAAGAGCACCAGGACATGCAGCTCTGGCTGTAAGAGGGCTATATCAATAAGTGCATTGTCTTGTTTGGTAAACAAAGCATTAAGTATGTGGACATGGTCAGGGTTACAGTGATACAGCACATTGACAGCTAGATGGCGAAAGGCTGCTTCATTATTTAAAGGTCCAGTGTGTGGAATTTAGGGCCGTCTATTTGCAAAAATAGAGTATAATGTTCATAACTATGTTTTCATTAGTTTATAATCATCTGAAAATAAAAGTTGTGTTTATCTTACCTTAGAATGAGCCATTTATATTTACATGGGGAGCAGGTCCTCTACCACTGAGTCCACTATGTTGTTACTACAGTAGCCAAGAAGGGGCAAACAAAACACTGGCTCTGAATAAGGTCATTAGCATTTTCGGCTTGGCCCCTGTAGTTCTCTGGCACTCTTGTCACATGGGAAAAGTTATATTGTGTTATACAGCTTAATTAGCCAGATTGTTTATGCTTTCGTCTGAAGTCAAACAAACATTTCAACTTCATTCATCTCTTTCTCTGCAACTGAAATATCTATTGTTGCACTCTGACGCTTCAAACTCTTTCAGGTCTTCACTTAAAAACAACAGCAACAACAAAAATGTCGACCTCCAAGCTCCTCTGATTCCCAGAACTTCCACTGTTCAATGCAATTTTCTCTTAATTTCTTTCAGCATCACCAGTTTAACTGCTTGTTCAACTCCTCTCGGCAATTGTATTTGGACTGCCACTTTTACTTCAGCTTTAACTGTTTCAGTGTTTTAAATATTTTTAAGGTCCAGTGTGTAGGATTTAGGGGGATATATTGCAGAAATGGAATATAATGTAATAAGTGTGTTTTCTTTAGCGTATAATCACCTGAAAATAAGAATCATTATGTTTTTGTTACCTTTGAATGAGCCATTATTATCTAGGGAGCAGGTCCTCTTCTACAGAGATCACCATCTTGCACTGCCATGTTTCTACAGCAGCCCAGAATGGACAAAACAAACACTGGCTCTAGAAAGGGCCATTTGTGTTTTGGCATCAGCCATCATACCTTACAGACCATCCGCAAAGAGTGTGTCAGAAAAACACAAATCTTTTTAACGTGAAAGCACTTTATTCAGTGTTTTTACCAGTTTAAATCATCCATAATCATCCATTTGTTTTGGAGAGGAAGACACCTCTGCAGATAGTTCGATTCCAGATGAAAACCTCCAGAACAATTAACACTAAAGAAATTCTAACCAGGAGAACTTTCAGCTAGTTGCAGTCTGCAAGCCTCGCTTAAACTCATAGGGAACCAGAGAACCCTGTACTATCTTTTTCTTTTTATTAAGATGTTTGGTTAGTCAGCCCATGTAGCTTTTTGGTACAAAGTGTTTTATCAGTACAATAGTGTATATTTATATATTGCACTGAGGCATATTTATTGATCGGTGACATGCAGAAAAAGAATACCACTATAGCTTTGGGCTTTTCCAGTGAACATTGATGAGACAATGAACACACGACAACTGCCCCATAAAACTGGATGAGTTGAGTCGTCAGTCGCGAAGAAGTTGACTCGTATTTTGTCAGTCAGCCAGTTTAAGCAACTTGTGTCTATCGGCTCCTCGGACTACTTTTGAATCAGACGCTGGGACAGTCTCCTCTATTGCAATGATTTTATTGTAACATAGATGTTTTGACCACACTTGAGATGACAACATATGAACCATAAAGTTGGGTTTAAGGACTTAATCAAATGCCAAGGCATTACAAAGTGTTTTATGCTCCTTTGAGGCAGGATTTGTCAACTTGTGAAAGCTTCAGTGACATTTTTTCTTCACTCATCCTCTGAGGTAAAAATAAATGAGTAAAATGCTGCAAAGGTATGCAATAAAAGGTTTTATACCTGATATGTGTGCTTATGATATCAGCAGGGCTGCAGGTTGTTAAAAAGTCTTTTTTTTAAAAAAAAAAAAAAATTTTTAGGGCATTTTGCCTTTATTGGACAGGACAGGTAAGCGTGAAAGGGGGAGAGAGAGAGGGGGGATGACATGCAGCAAAGGGCCACGGGCTGGATTCGAACCCGGGCCGCTGCAGCAACAGCCTTGTATATGGGGCACCTGCTCTACCACTAAGCCACCAACGCCCCAGGTTGTTAAAAAGTCTTAAAATCAGGGTTCCCACGACCATGGGAAACCTGGAAAAGTCATGGAACTAGCAATCTGGAAATCCGTTGGTTAAAAAAAAAACTTTTTTTTTTTTCTTCTTCCTTTCTACAATGTAAATTGCAGAATCTGTCTTGAGAGATTATGGAACTAGTAAAAAATAAGTCCCGGAATTTTGTTGTGTGTAATGAAATTATTCTGTGCATAACCTTCCATGTAATATAACACAACAGCATATTTATTCTCTGTAGTTAATGACACAACATAGCTCTAATATGATCTAATCTGATATGTTTGAAAAACACCAAGCAAGTGGGGCAAGGAAAAAAAGTTATCATGGGTCCTTGAAAAATCATGGAAAAGTTTTGAAATTGTATCCATGAAAATGCGTGGAAACCTTGTAAAATGTCTAAAATATACATTTACTGATAAAAGGCCTTAAAGTATGATTGTTTTAAATGCAGATTGGATGGGCCTTAAATGTCGTGAAGTCACATCACAGTGAGATTTTCCAGTGTTGGCGGGAAACATCCTATAGGAGAGAAACACTTTTTCACAGGGGAACAGACTTTGACATAACAACTCTATGTATGCACTATGCAGCACCCCTATTTTTGCCCCCTCTGTGCATTTAGATAATGCAATAAGTTTGCATTTTTAAACTAATGCATTGTTAGGCTGCCAGCTTGTCGGTTTATTTTTTCTGTGCTTAGAGCAGTAAGAACAGAGAGTATTATCAGTGTCATTGTATCTTACTGTTCATTTTGAACAGTAAACATCAATGTGTTTACTTACAAAGACTATATTACTTTTGGTGGGTATTTTCATGACAGGTTTGGCCTTTCAATTTCATTTAAAGTGAAAGTGAAAAGGTCTTAAACAGGATTAAATTTAACTTGTTTAAACCTGGAGACGCTCTGGGTATAACAAAATAATCCCCACATAAAAGTCTGTTATCACCTAAAACAGTTTATCAGGACAGAGAGAGTGGTCGGTCTATTTTTGGGTTCATTCCCAGTTTAATTAGTCACAGTGTCTTGAATATGAACTCTGCCATTCCTTTTTACTTCCTTGGAGGCTTTGTAAAGTTGACATCCATTCACTAGGCTGTCATTAACCTAAATATTCAGACAGCCAGCCGAGAGACGGCCCAGATGTGAAGGCAAGCCGCAGCGAGTGTCCTGGGTTGAATGTCAGGGCTATCGCTGTGGTTATGTTGTGAAGTGGTTTCATATTGTTACCTCTTGTAGTAAGGAGCCAGAGGGACCACATTTTAATCCTATTCATACCTAAAATTTTAGCACAATAATGCAAATTAACAGATTACCTGCTCTTATGTCTTCTGAATCATAACACTATATTCTTATATCCCCTTGGCCTCATGTTTACCCTGTTTCTGCTTGTTTCCTAGGAGACAGCGGGAAGGTGACTACAGTTGTGGCCACACCAGGTCAGGGACCGGACCGCCCACAGGAAGTTTCTTACACTGACATAAAGGTGAGCAAGCAACTAAAACCAAAACCTCACAGTGACATCGGACGAAGCTCCGTCCTTTCATATGTAAAAGTACAACTTTATCACCTTCTACAACTGGAACTAAGACTTTTATCACCTCATTACACACAATGACAGCAGTATATCTGGCTGAACTCGATAAGGTAGTTGATCAATACCAGTGGCTACACAATTACTTTGCCAGTTGCTGATATTTATGGCACTCAGTGCTGACTTTATAGCCTTCTTTCTGTAATCTGTTTTCCTCTGCTATCTTGTCTTTGATCTGGAAATGTGACATAATTGTTTCGGTTTGAGGCTAATGACATTACACGGAATGAGATTGGTGTTAAGCTTTGTTTGCACCTTTGCAAGTCCTTGTGGTAGTTTCCTTTGATCACCTCTAAGATTGCTTTATGTCTCTTTAATAGTGTGTTAACGTACATTTGTCAAACTTTATATCTCAAAGTTAATGGTGTAATTATACCGGCTTATGAGAAATATTTCACTTTTTCACTGTCTGCCGCAGCAGTTAAAGGTTATCAAGGTGTCATATAAAACTGTGCTGAAATATTTCAGTTGTACTGTAAGATTTGTTTTAATAACTATGAGGATAAAACTGTGATTATGATCATCTATCATTGTGCATTAATTGCCATTTTAGTTATAATTTTACAGCTGAAATTCATTTAGGACTTATTAGGGCTGGGCGATATGGCCTAAAAAAAAATCTCAGATTTTTTCACAAAAAATCCGATTCACGATTTAAATCGATTTTTTCCCCTCCTAGTTAAAAGATATGTATATATTTGCGGCCTGGCAGCACATACCTGGGGTTCAAAGCTTTCAGCATGCGAATAAACCCCAGCTTTTTCACGGTAGCCTATATATGGGCATCTCTTGCAATATACATTGCAACTGCATCTGTGATCGCTTTCCACCGGACTCCTTTCTTATCATACGGCAGTGTTTCCCCTACCATTATATTGGATCACAACAGAAGTCATTTAAGGTTACCTTTCCTATAGAACAGGTCTATATCTTGTCCTTTTATTAAACAAACTAAATAGCCTTATGTTACAGGCTGAGCCTGATGTGTGTGACTTGTGTGTGTGTGTGTGTGTGTGTGTGTGTGGAGCTGTGTATGTGTGTAGTTGATGTAGGAGGTATGAGACGTTAGTGCGCCAGGTGTGGTGTGTGACGTCAGACGGATGCGCCCCAGGAAGAAAGTGAGGCTTGTGCTATGTTGTTTACATCGAGCAGCCACAGTGAAGAAGCCTATGCAGTTCTGCATGCTGTTTTTGAGTTATTTCCCTCTATGTTAAAGTCAGACACTGATGAGAGAGGCTGTGCATCATCCCTGCAGTGCTGAAAATAAAGTGCCTTTCTTTAACTCTGACGAAGTCCCGTTTTTTATGTGTTGTTGCCACAACGAGCTAACACAAGCTAAAGGAGCTAATGGTCTTCGGAGGTCCCTTTACTACGGTTCGGGGGTCTGCCAGCTTGGCGTTTGTAACACTTATTCATCTTATTTACACAACAGCATGTCATTTATGTCCCTACACGGTGCGCATCTAAAATCCTCCTCTGCTCTCTGTGTCGCGCACAGCGGAGTTAGGCCCTGATGCGCACACACACACACACAGACACAGACATAGGTGTGCACACAAAAGCGCTGAAGAACTCGTTCCCTTTCTTGAGAAGGAGTTCTTCCCCGCTCGCTGCCATGTTGTTTGTGTATCAAGCGCAAGGGGGGGAGGGGAGAGCCCACTCTGAACTACCGGAGCCCAGCGTGGAGCGGTGGTGGCGGATTTTAAATAGAAACTCGATTTTCATTAAAACAAATCAGCCTAAACTGCAAATTCGAATTAATCAATTTTATCGATTTATCACCCAGCCCTAGGACTTATCAGTTACAACGACTTATAATATACAGATGTTTAGATACGATTTGAATGAGATCTATTGGTCTCTAAAGTTTAACCAAGCTAATCAAAAAAGTAACTGTTGCTGTTGTTCGGACCCATTATTTTTTGATGCAAGTCTAGTGTTAGTAAAACCACAAATAAGTGAAAAATAAACATTTAAAATTAAGATATTTATCCTGTTTGCTGTGTGTTTTTGTAAAGTAAAGTAAATCTGGTTTCTTGGTGCACTCACTGAATAAGGAGGATTAAGCATAAACCTGTCTTTGCTTTGCATTGATGAACACGGCTCTTAGGAAAACACAGGAAGGACAGACTCTTCCCCCAAAACCAATATTACAATTTGTTCCTGACCTACTTTACACCATAGACTATATATAAAGATGGACGATGCAGCTTTACTTCCTCAGGATTTATAAAGTGAAGCCAAAATATCCTGGATACAAGAACTGCCATCCTGCGCTGGTGACATCATTTGGAACCGGAGTCTGCACAGTAGTGACCTCCATGGTATCAAGTTCTCACACATACTATTGTCCAACCAATTGCGAGCAGCGCCATTGATCATGAGCATACTAGTTGTATGTCATAACATCAAACTCCTGTGTTATATTATCAAATGACTAATTAAAACCAAATTTATCAGAAAGATTAACACTTAAAACATACATCAGTGTGATAGAACTAAATAAAAAAATGAAAACCATCATTGGGAATAATTTATTTGACGTGTATTTTGATGTTTTATTCTGGCCCATGTCCCATCTGTTCACATGAAGGGGGCGGTGTTCATGACCTATAGTGCCGCCAGCCACTAGGGAGTGATCAAGGTGTTATGGGGAGCTGTCATGCTGCCCATCTGTATACAGTCATTGTTTTAAACAGGTTGCACCATGTTAGACACTGAAAATAAACATAAAGTGGGAAGTTGTAGCTGGACCGACTCAGATCAGTTAGTTATATCAGCAGTCAGAAACAACAGCCTCATAAATCATATCTGTATGTGCACCTCACCTGATGAACTGTCATTGATTTCTTCAGTCCAGCATCTCACTGTTTCTTCCTCTGTGAAAACCTCGCAGGTGATTGGCAATGGGTCGTTTGGTGTGGTGTACCAAGCTCGCCTCATCGACAGCCAGGAGATGGTGGCCATTAAGAAAGTTCTGCAGGATAAGAGGTTCAAGGTAGGGCTATAATATACTAACTCTCCACATATTCTTTTTCTCTTTCCATTTCCTTTCAGACTTTGTCTTCCAAGCATTTTGTTTTGCTTGTTTGTCAGACAATACATTTAAAACATTCAAGTTCTCATGCCTGGTTTGTTTTCTAGCTTTCCTACCTTCACTCATGTTTTCTTGTCTTTGCAGAATCGGGAACTACAGATCATGAGGAAGCTGGATCACTGCAACATTGTCAGACTACGTTACTTCTTCTACTCCAGTGGAGAGAAGGTACAGCTCATGTTCTTTTTTCATTTGTTCTTGCAGAAAAATCTAATTCTGTTTTCTGGTCACATAAACATTTGGCACGTCACCATGGTCACACACACTTCTCTCACGGCATCACAGTTTCACTTAAAATGCACATTAAACATAAAATTACTCAGATGTTGTTTAAAAAGAAATACCCCAGCCTTTTAAAAAGGGAAGCAATCCATTTCTTGGACTGATAAATATAGGAACACTTTTGAGAAGTAAATTCTGTTTATGTGGTCCTTTTATTTTTAAACAATAATAGAAAAATATTTGACTTGTGAATCAACAGCCTAGGCAGGCAGTTTGTCATTTATGTATTCCTATAACATTGGTACTTATAACATTGGGCAGGGGTTTCAAACTCAAAACATAAAAATTTTAAACTTAAGTGATCTCTCTTTCTCTCTGTGCTGTATAGAAAGATGAAGTGTATCTCAACCTGGTGCTGGACTTTGTCCCTGAGACGGTCTACAGGGTTGCCAGGCATTTTAACAAGGCCAAGAGCATCATTCCTATCATATATGTGAAGGTAATTTTATCCTTTTCCCACGAGACATTTCTGTGTTGTTTAATTACTGTAATGTTCGTAAAGGTTTTTGGAAATTGTTGTTCTTTAACATTTCACAAAAAGGCACCTTTATTTACACAATGATTCAAAACGCAATATCTTTTTGGTTGCCTCCATTTAAACAGAGTGCTGTTCTAATGTTGTGCCCTCCTCAGGTGTACATGTACCAGTTGTTTCGCAGTCTGGCTTACATCCATTCCCAGGGCGTGTGTCACAGAGACATCAAGCCTCAAAACCTGCTCGTCGACCCAGAAACTGCCATCCTCAAGCTGTGTGACTTTGGCAGGTGAGCTGCGTGAACAGATGGAAGAAGGATTTTAACATCAGCAAAATTTAGAGATGCAGCAAGTTTTTATGTGCAGAAAGAACAGAATTAAACAGATCTGTATCTAAACTCCCATGGGGTATTTAGTGTGTGACATTCCAGATAACATGTAACTGTTTAGGCTGGATTTAACAATTATAAGCAGCCCAGTGGCATTATGGGACTGTATACAATGTGGTAGACCTACCTCTTAATCCTGACCACGTTTGGTGGGACATTTAACACTGGCAGACAAAATTTTCTGTAATCTCACCATTGTCATTTATTTTGATTAAAAGCCACGGAAAACACATTGAGGGAGAACCCTCATTTTCTGTGGTGCCGAGGTACATACAACATACACAACTTAAATCCAATAGTAATACAAGAAATATACTTTTTTTTTTCAATGTAAAACCAAATAAACAAACAAAAACTAAAAACAACAACAGATACAGTCAATAAGGTTACCAATTAAACCTTGAAATTATCTCTGCAGTGTTAGTGAAGTCAGATGAAATCATCTGTAGGGTGAGCCATGTCTGTAAGTGGGTACAGTGGCTACTAGCATTCCAAGAAAGCATGGCTAAGAGATAGGGGGTGAAGGTTTCGTAGAAGAGCTTTATAAATAATGAAAATAAATACTGATCCCTCCTCACTGAAAGAGCAGGCAAGCCAGTTTTTTTAAACTAGGCGATGGTGTGTCCCATAAATATCTTCAGTGATGAATCTTAAGGCTGTGTAATATACTGCAGCGTTTCCCACAGACAATTTGCGTCAGTGAACGCAGTGCAGGCAGAGCTCTCCTATGAGTTTTGTTTTTTTTTTTTTCCTCAGCAGCACTTAATGATTTGTGGGATGGATAACTGATCTTTCGAGCCATTCAGAGCTGATCTGATCAGATCAATGGAGAGGAGCAACTGCTACAGAGGCCAGTTAGAACCCAGCAGAATGAACAATTTAGTTTCACTGTCAGTGCACTTGATGTTCTGCTGCTCCATCTATGCCAAGAGTGCACTCTGCATTGAGACAGTGTGGTGCTATAAATAACCAAGCACTACATGTATTTCAACAACGATCCTAATGAATAGTCCATCCTAAAAAAAAATAGGAAATCTATTAGTGGCAGCAGATGTTTTGACAGGGCGGGCCGCCACAAATTAATAAATGTGTGAGAAACCCTGTACTGAATGTAAAGGTTGGAGAGTGGAACTGGACGCCTGCCCATAAATAACACCCCCATAGTCCAATACAGAGATAAGATCGCTTCAACATGATTGCTTTCAACTTTGACTGCAGCACGTCGGTATAGACTTAAAAGTAAGTTTTTCATCAACCCAAATGCCAAGATATTTTCAATGATGCACTCTTTCTGTTATGGTATTTCTAGCAGAACAAATTTCAGAACTACCATAGTCAGTATTTCTTGCATTCAAAAATAAAATCTATTTTGTTTTTGCATAGTTTAGGGCCAGTTTCAGATTGTGGAGGTGCTTTTGAAGGTGGTGAAATGATAGCTGTAGATTTAGAGTGGCGTCATGAATAGAGTCTGAGCAGGAATAAAGGACAGTGTCATCTGCGAAAAAATGGAAATTACACTTGTACAATGAAGAGGTTATATTAATATTATAACTAGTGACTGAAGGACTGGCCCAAGGACAGAACCCTGAGGAACTCCATACTCCCCAGTTCTTAATAATTATTTCCTTCACAACAGTTAACACTCTTTATCCTCTTTCAACTGAGTCATTCTTTGCAGTAATCATTATAACATAAATTAAACTTCTTGTGTTTCCCCAGTGCCAAGCAGCTGGTCCGTGGTGAACCCAACGTGTCGTATATCTGCTCACGGTACTATCGTGCCCCTGAGCTCATTTTTGGTGCCACAGACTACACGGCAAACATTGACATCTGGTCAGCAGGCTGCGTACTGGCTGAGCTGCTGCTCGGACAGCCCATATTCCCTGGCGACAGTGGGGTGGACCAGCTCGTAGAGATTATCAAGGTGAGTGTGTTTAATAGGCATGTGTGTGCTACTGCATTGATGGTAGGACCACTTGTAATTCTTGTTTTCAGTGGAGGTTATCTCTGTAGGACATTAACTTGGTTTGTGCATGCGGGGATGCTCATTCATCATTTTGTATTGGGATCATAAAAGACTCAGATTCACAGTCAATCACACACCTACATGACATGCATGTCTACAGAATACTGCTCATGCTCTTCCTACAACTGTTCTCAGGTGCTAGGAACCCCAACAAGGGAACAAATCCGAGAGATGAACCCAAACTACACAGAATTCAAGTTTCCTCAGATCAAAGCTCATCCATGGACCAAGGTGAGTAAACACCAGCAGGGCAGTCGGTATTCACCAAGTCTATCTGGAAAGGCATGTAGAATGAATCCATGTGTCTCTGGCCCTGTTTACACCTGGTGTAACATGCATTTTAGGTGATCAGATCACAGGTGGACAGTTTGCGGTCCATTTCACAGGCCTGTGCTACGATCTCTCATGGTAGTATAAACAAGGTTTTACACAAGTTAGACCCACGCTGAAGGACCATATACAGCCACTATCCTCCTGGTAATAAGTCAGTTCTATGAGCTAACAAAGCAGCAGCTGTGAAGCAGTCCCAATGAACTCACATGGACTCTGAAACGGCTTGACTCTTTCATTAAAGCTGTGAATAACCATGTGATGCTAACAGTTAGCCCTGTCAATACTTGTGTGTGTGTGTGCAGGCAGACTCTTACCAACGGATTCCTGCGCTGAGCTCACTCTCCCGCAGCAGAATGTACTTATGTACGTGTTATTTGCATATAGAACAAAGTTGTCACTAGTTGTCATTAGAGAGACACATGAAGATGTATTCTAATGCCAGATATGAACAGACAGGCTTCAAGCCCACTTGTGAGTATATCACCCAAGATGCATGGTGTAAGCAGGCTCAATGGAATTGGGAAAGAAAATCTGTAAATATGGAGAAATTGCTCAGAGGTAAATGTCATTTATTACTGTTATTTTACTTTTGATTTCTGTGACATTCTACATATGGTGTGAGACGTCCATATACATACAAAGGTGTTTGGGCCAATCCAGCTTACAAGAGGAAAAGAAGAGAATACCTGTGGATGTGCTGTTGCCCACACGGTCTATTTAAATCTGCAAGTCGAGGTGCTTCAGTGCCCTCCTTCTGCAAGTCGATTAACCCTGTGACACCTTAAGAGCACAGAAACAACGTAAAACCAAGAGAAGTGGCCCTTTAACATTTACTACAAAGCGGATAGCTTTCTACTCCAAAAACTGCGAGCAGTGGCTTTTTTTAGATGCAGAACTCCTCTGTATGGGTTGTCTTTCTTTTTAAGGCCCTACATTTACCACATGGACTGGAATAAAATACTAATAAATACTCAAACAGTATTAAGTGTAAATTTAGTGAGCCAATGTCCTTCATATAAATGATACTTTGTGTTTTTGTCTTGTAGAATTTGACAAAACCTGCAGAGTGCTTTACTTTGATGATAGAAATTGTCTATTGTGGAAGAGATTGGCTCAAAATCATGTTTTCCTCAGGTGTTTAAACCTCGCACTCCTCCCGAGGCCATTGCTCTTTGCTCCCGGCTGCTGGAGTACACGCCGGCCTCACGGTTTTCCCCACTAGAGGCCTGTTCGCACGCCTTCTTCGACGAGCTTCGACAGCCGAACACACGACTGCCCAGCGGCCGAGAACTGCCGATGCTCTTCAACTTCAGCACCACAGGTACACACATATTCAAGCACACTTATCTTAAAGGTTTTGAATTAATTTCAGCACCAAATCGATCTGTTGTGTTTGTTCAAATCAGCACCATCTGTTCAGCTAAATACAATCAGGTGGTGTTTCTTGGTTTGTTTTGGGCCAACGCTGCGACCTCAGAGGAGGTGCAATTAATTCAGCATACACTATCCTATTGTTGTGTGATGCTGTCCTCTTGATATATGACTCATCTTCAGAAAAAAACTCCTCTTTATTTTCCGCAGAGCTGTCCATCCAGCCCCAGCTGAACTCAACCCTCATTCCTCCTCACGCTCGCTCACATACAGCTGCTTCCGCCCACGGTAGGAAACTCTTATGTTAATGTTATTGTCATTTTCTAGATTGTAAATTTTAATCCCATGGTTTTGTGATGTCTGAAAAAATGTGTTTAAGTAATGTGCAAAATCAGTACCTAAAAAAAATCCCAAGACATCACGAGTAACAATTGTTTTTACACAGGTATTTAGATTTTATTATGTACTCATTTTTAATTAGCTAGTGAATGGAATCATTTTATTTTTATTTCTATTGTATTTATTTTAGTTTTGGTTCTGACAGACCTCCAGGATTATTCTGGCTTGGAACATGTGTATCGAAAAATAATTTTAAATGCCTTTTTTAGCTATGTGAAACTTTTCTGTGAATTTCATGGAATGAATATATAATTCTGATTTGATCCCTACACATCCTTCCACTAATTACACAGCAAATGACCAAAGATATGCAGCAAGTTATTTGACATAAAAGAGTGGTTTTACATATTTAATTTTAAAGTGATTTTTAACTGTAACTACATATTTTTGTTGTAACCAGAGTAATGGGTGTATTGTGACACAAGATGGCAGTATTAGATATGAAATATTTGTCTCTTATGCAGACATGACAGATTTCAGAGTGCCCACATTGTCCAATATAAAAACATACTTAATATGAACTGTATTGGCTTGAAAATAAGGACACCTTGATTATGATTATGACCCCTTTTCCAACAACTATTTTTTGGAAAGATGGACAACACCTCTAGTGTCCGTTAGTCCCAAGATAAGTTGGTTCTCATAGTTGAAGCATTTTCTCCAATTCATGTACCACTGTCAGGATAGAGCAACAGTTTAATCAAATATGACAGAAGATTATTTTTTATGAAAGTTACCTACTGTAGCTTTAAGGCTCATAATGTGTAATACTTAATATAATATTACCTTTAAGTGCTGGACTTTGAATTTACGACTGACTGTTTTCTGTTTCCTGTTGTGTCCTTTAGATGGTACCGGTTCAGATTCATCTCAACACAGTTCAGTACCAGGATCTCTTAACAGCATCTGAAGCAGCCTCTCACCTGCCTGCCTGCCAGCCTCACCTTTATCTCAGACACACGCACACACACACACTACCGCTTTCCTCCATGCTGCTTGCTCTCCTCTTCGATGATCTGTTTTTGTACAGCAAATGCGTTGAACAAACTAAACATTAGTTCTTTAGCTGCCAGGGTTGAAACTACGGCAGGTGATTGTTGAACACACACACACACACAGAGTCGTCTCGCTGCTGCTCGGTTGGTCAGTGAAGGTTCAATAGTTGGGGCTGGTCCTCTGTAATATAACCTTTTTATTAAATCAACATTTTTTTTCTTCTTCTTTATATTTGTGTTTATTTATTTGACTAATTGAAAGCATCGTATGGTCACAAAAACATTTAGTCCTTCGATTTTTTTTCCACTTCAGATTATTTTTTTATATTCTTCAGTGTTTCTGCATCCCTGTTAGTGAGGGGTGAACTGTACACTGCCTGACCAGAAGATCAGAACTGGCCTCAAACTGGTCCATCAGGGTAAAGGATGTTTTATTCAACTCAGGGCGGGAGAGCGGATGCAGGGACTGATAAATTCCTAAATCCTCCAGCCACATTGTTTCACCAATCCAGCCTGATGTTTAGGTTTAAATTAAACTTCCTCATCTTGATATTTACCTGCTTATATGGCGGGTAGAGTAGAAAACCTCATCAGCACCAGGTAGCAGTTATCAGTGTTTGGTTGGAGGTGTACTGGATTGCCCCTTATGTGAATCGTTCAGTGGCTGCATTTATACAGACTGGACTGGAAATAACTACACTCCACCAGTCACCGCGTCTCGTATCCATTTGTTTCCTGTTTTAGAGAGTTTTGTCTCGAAAAAGAGGGAAAAAATCCTCAAAGAAACAGTTCCCCTACATGCCCACTGTTGTAGTTTAAATATGGGTAAACCCTTCATGCGTTTAGGTTTTTTTTTTTTTATCGTTTTCACATTCAGGAGGGCAGAGCTGTTAATTTATTGGAAAGACGTTATTTCCAGAGGAAAAAATCCTCAACTCCTGCTCTTGTTCGTCACCTGGAAAATTAGTGTAGACCTGTAAATGTCCAGTTGTAAAGAAAGTGTGAATGTGCTGCTCAGCAAAAGCAGATATAGAAAATGAGCCTTTTGAAATCAAGCAAACAAATTAGAACCATAGTAGTGCGAATAGTAGTTTGTTACTGGAAGCTGCACCTTGCGCTGCTTGTTCTCTGTCCTGCCACCTAGTTAGTTGTATTCACTTAATGATCAAATGAAAACCAGCAGTGGTCTGGATACCTCTGTCCTAGATCATTGCAACAATAGAAAACAGATATTGGAGCTCTTCTAATAAACTAGAGATGACGACATCAATTCCGCTTAAAGAAGTTGTCACCATAATTTCTTTCCTGAACGAAATAACCAAATTTACGCCCCTATTCAAACACCCAAAGAAAAAGAAACCTGAAAGCCATCACGGGTTTCACTTGTCCTAAATAGTGTTAGTGAGTGGTGGAAACGGCTGATTCAGAAATTACTTAAAGGGACAATTTACCCTAAAATCAATAATACCTTTCTTTCCTCTTACCTGTAGTGCTGTTTATACGTCTTGACTGCTTGGCGTGTTACAAAGTGTTGGAGATATCAGGTGTAGAGATATCTGCCTTCTCTCCAATGTAATATATATTTTCTACCAAACTACACCTGACAATGATATCACCGTGCAGAACTGAGCATTTAATGGTAGCTCACCTAGCACCACTGAGCCAGCTAACAAAGCTAACAGCTAACTAGTACCATTGTATTGGAGAGAAGGCAGACATCTCTATGGCCGATATCCCCAACACTCAGCAACTCACACCAAAACAATCTAGATTGATAAATAGCACTACAGGTAAGAGGAAAAATATTTTGTTTTTTTTCTTTGGGGTGAACTGACCCTTATAAAATGAATGAATAAAAAAGATTATTCTTCTGTTTTTCATTTCGAGCTTTCAAAATGAAAAAAAACCCTTACATTGCGATCATGACGTGGTTAATGATAAGAAGTGAAAACTTTTGTATTAGAGCAAATGCTGTTGCTTTTAAAAAAGCCTGAAATTGTTTTAAGATAAATGATGCATTTTAAAGTTTTGAAAAGTATTTAAATGTGGTAAATATAGTTACTTGATGGCTTCCCTTTACAATTCCCCCAAACTGTCTGTTGACATGTATTCATACAGGAAACAGTAGGCTGGTTTTAGTGGTCTTAAACTCTGTTTTAATGTCACAATAATTTACAGATGTCTCTAAAAGAAAAACCTGTAAAATGCTCTGAAAAATATTGGCAGACTCAACACAAATGCTGTCCAGTCAAAAAGTCACTTTGGGTGGGGTTCCCCTTCAGCTCAAAGATCTCCCTTGTCCTGTTGTTAGTGTAGAAGAAAATACTTTCTTACTCCAAGAGCAGAGTGAATGTTGGTCCTCTTGTTGATTAAATGCAGCAGACGGAAAAATGTAATGCTTTATTAAACTTGGTGGGGGGGGGGGGGGTAACGTCATGTAAATTTATTTATTTATTTGTTTTTGTGATGAGAGTTGGATGTCCGTTACTTTAAGAGGGCTTTGAAATTGTTGAAGCTTCTTTAGGAAACTTCCATCAGTGGAAATGAGTGAAAAGTAGTGATGGCCAAATGAAGCCTCATGAAGGATTTTCTTTTTTTTTCTGAGCCCACTAAATGGCGCTTTTTGTTCAACAAAAAGTTGATAACACACTGAATTGCCATCTTTTGAGCCTCTCTGTTTAAACCAAGAGTGCCATCTAGTGGGCTCAGAAAATAAAGAAAATGCTTCATGAGGCTTCATTTGGCCATCACTAGTGAAAAGTTCACAGAAGCGAAGCATAAAGGAAGATGAATGAAAGGCTTAATGTGAATAGTTGTTCAATTTGAATTTCAGGCAGGGGAGTTCCTGTTAGGTGACTGTGTGTTTGTGTGTCCCTTGTGCTTCTATCTTTGTGAGGACCAATTTGAGTTTTACCCACGCAAGCGTGAGATAAGAGACGTTTGAGGTCGAGGCTGGATTCAGGGTCACGGGTTAGAGAATGTATTATCGTAGTCCTCTCAAGTGTAGAAGTGCAAATGTGTGTCTGACCATGTTCCAACCTACAGTCTGAACAGCCAGTGTTTTAGGGATTAGATCAGTCAACAATACAGAATCTTTGTAAGCAGTACAGACCACTTGAAAGTTTGTAGTATAGTATATTTGATACTGTCATTCCATGCTTCCACCTGCTGGTTTTAAACTGCAGCCATGTTTTCTTTTTTTTGAAATATCAGTGAAGATGCTTTTTTTTTCTTAATCGACCACATTCGGCACATTTACATTGATTTTATACGAGGAGAGTGGAGAGCATTTCTCATTCTGCTTTCTTTGCTGCAAAGAGTCCAACCAGCATGTTTGATTTACTCCGCAGGGTGCATCACACTCAGAGCTGTCAGACTCTCTGCGGCTATGAAAAGGTGTGACCCCAGCCAAGAGGAATCAGACATGGCTGATTCTTCTCTTCCTATAATCTCAGAAGCCATTTTGTTCCCCCTCCTTCACTCTCCTTCTCTTATCGCACGTGTAAATATCACTGATTTTTATTTTTCCTCTTTTTACTTTTTATTACAGAGTTGTTTATATCTTATCCCCCACCCCTCCCATCCTGTTGATGAAGCAGTCTTATTTTGTGCATTTTTGTAAATAAGTTTCTTTTTTTCACAAGTCAAAATGTAAATACTGCAAAGGAAAAAAATCAGCCTACTCCTCATGTTTGTTGATGATCTTTCTCTCTCGTTCTCTTTCTCGTAGTCCAGTGGATATTGTAAAAGTAGCTGTTAACATCATCAGGTGTCCTCCCTGTTCAGTCCTCTGTGGAACAAAGTTACTGTTGAATGAATATTTCAAAGGTTCTGTTCCAAAATGCTCCGTATGTGATCTCTCTAAAATCTAACGGCTGGAGGCATCAGGTCATGTTAGCGGCATCTTGGGTTTGAATCTGTCCGAGGATGCATGACAGCACTCTCTCCAACCTTCTCAACTATACCTACTGTTGATCCATACAGTATAATAAATGCAAAACATTTGAAATTATGTTTGTTTTACTTTTTTTTTTTAATTTTTATTTATTTTTTTTTATTGTAAAGCACCTTAAAGAGATAAGATCTTTTCAAGTGAGGTTGTTTGACCTACAGTAGATGTCAGTCAGTATGCCTCCAGTTTGGAGAAGCAGGCTAGCTAAGGTGTGTACTGCTGTGGAGGGCTCAGCAGCAAAATGCATTTAAGCCACCTAAAAAATCAATATCATTTTAAGTGTGCACTATATTTAGAATATTATCACTTCTCTGCCTTTCCTTCTGACAGGGAAGCCATTAACACCTCAGTTTCCCCATCTCTGCTTTCATCAAAGCCACCAGACTCATTTTGGCTCATTGCACTTTAGAGCTGCTGGTCTACCGCAGTGGCTCCCAACCACGAGGTGCCAACCCCCACTAGGGGTCGCCCAAGCTTTGCGTGGGGCTGTTAGTCCTTCTTTATTCTAAGAGGTGTAGGCCTACATCTCTGTATTTCATTTATTTCTGTAAAAAAAATGGTAAATAGTAAAAAGTTGTTCGTCTTAAAGTTTATAATATTATTTAAGATGTAAACTTAAAATACATCTCACAGGATAAGGACAAGGTAAAGAGCTGAACACTTGCTATAGTGGCAGAGCCTTTACTCTCTGCTAAATTGCCTCATCCTGAGGACAGAACAATGACCGAGTGTCAAGGAGAAGAAAATGCAGAATTTGTCAAAGAGGCCTCTTAAGTATGCATGATTGTTAAAAATACAAAAACCCTGTGACTTTGGTGAATCTGAACCAACACTCTAAAACACCAAAGACACACAATAACACAAATAAACCGATCAAGTCAGCCTTTATATAAAGCAATATCACAGTGTCATCTCCCCTCCACAAATTGCTGTCTACATTTTGCTGCTGCCCCTGTCCACAGCAGTACATTGCTTATCCTCTGTGTCACTACTCCAGCCTGTTATCTACAAACTGGGGGTGTACCAACTGCCATTTACCCATTTACTGTGGGTAATACTTTCAGTGAGGAGAATTACCTCACACGCTTCAAAAGGTCTGAACTATCACTTTAATTGAAGAGGCTTGTAACTGACTCAGAATCACATTTAATAGACTGCAGATCCTCCACAAGAGGGAGATGTTCCGCACATGCTAATTATAGTGAAACATACTCAAGATACAGCTCTTACTTTTTCTTCAGGCCTCCTACCCTTTTATTGAACAATAAAAATACCTCCTCCTGTCCAGCAAATAGGACACACTAAGAGCAATGTGAACCTCGTTGCTGAAAATGTGTTCCATTTTTGCAAATTTGAATTATAAATTTTAATTTAAAAACAGCAGCTATAAAAATGAAAAGCCCAAAGCAGAGATGGGGAGCAGGCTGCAGAGGTCTTTTTCATTCTCAAACTGAACGTTTTCAATCCCATCTGATATCAAGGCAGTTTTATCAGATTTCACGCAGCTCCTCTGGAGGCACAAAAAAAGCTTTGACACTTAAAATCACTTTTTTTTTTTTTTTCAGTTTTACTCCCACATTGTTGACTTTTCTCATCTTGGAACAGAACTTTGTGTGTTGTGACAGATTGCAATATATTATTACTGTGCAGTATTGAGACAAAATGTTTTGCCTACAGGTCACTGGCACTTTTAGAGAAAGTGCCGCGTCATGTCTGACTTGATCTCGACAGTGTTTAGTTGAACTCGCACCATGATGTGTTCTCATGTTGTACTCAACACGGGCATTTTGCATTATGTGCCGCACAGCATTCAGAATCGCTGCTTATGATTATAAGATGGCAGAAGTAGACATTTGTTTTGTGACTGCAGACGGAGCCACCTATCAACCTCGTGTGCGTGTGTGCGTGTTTGTTTGTTGCCAGTTAATACGCAGAAATGTTGACAGACTGTTTCAAACTGAATCTGAGAAATTGTACTTTGTGGTTTTAAATTCTCCTAAACCTCAGTTGTGTTAACATTACCTTTCTCATGTGACTGAGGTTACTGCATCTCTAGAAGCTGATGTGTTGGTGTGATGGAGAGATAGACTGAGAAAGAGAGAGAAAGAAACACAAACCTGTCCGTCTCTGTTCTGTGTATGTATGATATGGACTCATTTACTGTAATAAAGTGATGAAACTGTGTTTAGATTGTGTGCACTTCTTCTTTTTACGAAGTCGGTTTCGGCTGAGAGGCAGAAACTGCATTTCTGTGTGGTTGAATATGCAAAAAAAGACAAACAGACTCCTCTTCACACAGACACGTTGGTTCATTTCCGTGAACAGATCCAACAACATCATGGTCATTTGACCCAAACCTGTGTGCCATGATGTATTTGGCAGAGTCTGACTTAATAAATCACTGTAAAGTCATGACCTCTCCCTCTGTACGCCACGTCTCCTCAATTAAAGGCTGACCAGTTATGTTGGTACAATATTTGCAAGTGTATTTAGGAAAATCAGTGTCCTACTTCCTTGATACTCAGATTGGAGTTGGCAGCTCACAATGACAAAATGTCCAGAACAATTTTACAGAATTTAAATCTTGAAAACTATTGTGCAGATTTTACTGACGTGTTTACTTGAGAGCAGCTGCCGTGAATGAGTGAGTAAAAGAAGCATTGCATTTGATTGATATTTTTGTTGCTTCTTTATCTTTACTGTGTCTGTGGAAGTCATGAGTGTGAGGCAGCAGGTCAGGGAGGAGAGTCTGTCTTACAAGCACAACAACATGTATATGTGTACGTATTTTATGTAATCCTTAGGACATAATGTTTGCTTTGGTTCTCTATATTTCTATATTGGCTATAGTGTGGCACATGGAGGACACTTGTACCAGTGATGGTGACCAGCAGGTCGAGAGTTTACCACAGGCCAGAAACTTTCCCAGCATTTACTCAGCAGCTGGTGTTAATTGATAACCATGCTGATGATGTTTGTGTGCTTGCCAAAACCTGTCTTTGATTCTTTAAAAGTTAGTTGTTAGTTAGTGATTCATCTTACAAGAGGAAATCCGTTACCTCAAAAAATGTCTGAAAGTTGATCAGTTACAAATCCAAAGAGTATTTCCTTGTTTTTTTGGTATTTAAGTGTTTTTAGTGGCAGTGTATCAGAAGCTGCAGACACTTGGCTGACGGATTCGACTCTACTGACGCAGGTTAGATTTATTGATTATACTGTATGTTAATCTGGAGTTTTCTGTTACAGTTCATGGATGTATTTATATCCAATACCCTGTTTTAATATGAATATTTTTTTGTAATTTTCAGAATATTAGATTTGTCCTGCAGCTGTCCATTATTCAGCACAAATAATGAGGGTCATTTTTCTTCTCTGTGCCACCTTCACTTTGAGCATTTCAACAGGTGAGAACACTGAACACCAAACATGAAGTGTGATGCAACTTTAAAAAAAAAAAGTGGGGAAAAACTGAAAAGTTGTGATCAACAACATCACAGCTCCAGTTTTGTTTGAGCTTTAGGGAGGCAGTGCATCTTTTTACCAACTAACTAAATGCATGCCATTAAAACTAGTTTCCAAAGATGGTTAATTGTGATTTGAATCTTTGTCCACAGCAGATCCAGTGAAGGAGATGAAGCCAGGTGAGACTCAACAACAACTCAATTTATGCAGCACTTTTCAAAACTATGTTACAAAGTGCTCAAACCAGGATGCAATGAGGCAAATAAAATCAATTTAAATTATCTAAAAATAAAATGGAAGGAAATACCCAACAGTAATTTCAGATATTTAACAATAATAATAGGAGAGACAACAAGACTGGAAAGACGTGGTGATGCATCTTGTCACTGTTTATAGTCACAGTTTAAAGTCAGGTTATTCCTCCAGCTATAGTTACAGTTAATTACAGTGATTGGACAAAACATGATGATGCAGTATTTTGGATTTTGGTACTGAAAAACATTTTGGGAAAGATGCTGCTCAGTAAATGATTCCATCCTGCACCCTTTATGAGGCACAGGGTGAATACAGATGTTTTAACGTTTGTCTGTGATCTATTTACTCATGTTTACAGTAAGCTCAGAGACTAAATGAAGGCAATAGTTGAAACTATTTGTGTGTTTTGTAGCTTTACTTTACATTTAAAAAAATGGAGACTGGAGAAAATAGTGTATAAATGGTGGCATTTAACTGTTTCAGCTGTTTTTAAAAGCTTTACAAAAGGATTATTGTAATTAAGCTGGTATGTCCAGCTGTAACAGCCATGTGTTTGACACAGGATGAAACTGTGAGTCCTGTTCTGCTGAACCTGCACAAATGTGACAGCAGAACAAAAATAGATTAAAAAAAAAAAAAAAGCAGTTATATAATATTTTGCTGTTCTTATTCCTCTGCAGAGCCGGTGGAGGAACCTGTCCCTGTTCAGCAAAATAAGACTGGAGGTGAGAACGAATATTTTGGCCTACACATAGAAGCCTCAAACCTTTTGTCCTGTCTGCAGTTGTTTGGACTCAGCTAGAGATTTTGAATAACAAATTGAAATGTAGCTGAAGAGGTGAAAATTAAGACCGAAATTCTCCATAAATCATGCTCAAAATCTATAAGATATAACACTTAGACCCCAATCACTTGAAAAAATAATGGCATTATACCTTTCTGCAAATCACGGATATGTTACAATTGCATGTAATAATATAATGGTGATGTTGAAACTTCACATTTCAACAACGCTGTTTCATTTTATTTATTTAACCCATATTTAACCAGGAAAGTCCCGCTTAGATCAGCCATCTCTTTTACAAGGTAGACTTGGCCAAGACAGCAGCACACAAAAAAATTCAGCCAAACAACCACACAGTTAATACATGAAAGATACACAGTGACATGTAAAAATATTAGAACGCCTATGCACAATGACAGGAACCAACCGACTCATTCATCCTTGTACTTATGGGAGCTTTCATGATACGTAGCTCAGTCTGAACACGAGAAACAGACAACAAAATTAAGTCTTTGGATCTCAGACTGTAGCTACTGTCAGATCTCTGGTCAATCAAAGTACACATGTACAAAGAGAGTTTACCCAGTGAGGTTTTATAAATGAACACATACCAGTGACTGAGCCTACGAAAGGTCAAAGATGGCCAACCAGCCCTGGAATAAAAGGTACAGTGATGAGTGAGGGTTTTATCCCAGTGCACTATATGCAGTATCTAACATGGGCAAACAATGTGCAGATGCATTCATGTACAACAGATCACCATAATCCAGAACCAGTAAAAACATAGCAGGAACCAGTCTTTCCCTGGCCTCACAGGAGAAACAGGACCTGAAATAAAACCAAAACTTCAGTTTCAGAAGATTACCAGCCTGAGGTATAAAAGACAGGCAGTCATCAAGCCAAATACTGAGATATTGGGAACAAGTGACTACCTCTTTCCCCGAGCAGTAAGAACATCAGGAGTGTTCACAGGCTTCTTCATAGCATTTGAGAAATGCATAACTTCAGTTTTATCTGCATTTAAAACCAGTGTTAGTTGTGAAAACTGAATCTGGATCATGTTAACGCTGTGGTTAACAGCACACACATCACATCACATCACATCACATCACACGCACCATCCACCATCCCCTCCGCCTCACGACAAAAAAGTCAGCTCATACACTATCTTACTTTGGAAAGTTGATATGATATGTATAAAATGTGTAAATGTAACATATTTGTGGTTTGCAGGAACGTACAATAACAACATTTTCTTCTGGCCAGTGGGCTAATGTGGAATTATCTGCAAAAAGCTATAGAATCGTTTCTTGTGAATGAAGTTGATGACTTTTTCCTCCAGAGGAGAAACGAGGGGAGCCGCTGCCTCGGGGAACAGGAAGGATGGCCAAATGGCAGTATGGAGGAATTAACTGGTTTCCAGACTATTACAGTAGGGAGGATGACTGTCCAACCAGCTGGCAAAGATATGGGTCCCGATGTTTTGTCTTCATCAACAGCCCAATGGCTTGGGTAGATGCTGAGGTAGCCTGATGTTCCACCATCTCACATACAGACAGGCGTTCCCCAAATTATTCCCAAATGTCATATTTTGTTTCAAGTGATACTTAAAGTAACTTTAAAACACATTAGGTTTAAAAGCACAACTCAAAAGATTTGTCTTTCCCCTGCTATGTCTGACTCTGCTCCCACAAAAATTAAAAATGAGGTAAAATGTGTGGAAAATGTGCGCATTACTCTCAGACTGATTATATACACTTTTTATCTCAACCTCCAAGTCAGTGCTACGGCCCTGAGGGCATATTATGTTTGTGTACAGTAAGATCTCGTGATCTCTCTTTACAGAAACATTGTTGGCCCTACGGTGCCAACCTTGCATCCATCCATGACCAATGGGAGTACAGTTTCATCCAGGACTCTGTAATCGACCAAGGATACTATGGCCAAGCCTGGATCGGTGGCACTGATGCAGTCAGGGTAATATGCAAACATCAGTTCACAGAGATGTATCCCTGTTTTTTGTATTTTAATGCTCTTTGTAAATTCAGATATCTTAAAGTTAATTTGACTGATTTTAGATTGTTTCGCTGGACCTTTAAAGGGACAGATGTGTGCCTTCTCTCCAGTATAATGGAACTAGGTGGCACTCAGCTTGTGGTGCTCAAAGAGCCAGAAAAATCACAACCCGGTTATTCAAGATAATCCACAGACCTTGTTGTGAATAGGTCATGGAACTATTTTCTTTTTACTGAACTACATCCACCAACCGTATCACTGTGCACAAGGAAGCATGCATTTACTGCTAGCTCACCTATCACTACCCAGGCCTCCAGGAATGCCGTTCAGTGTTGCTTCCAATTTTTCCCAGTGGCCACTGGGCCACTATTGCCGCAGAAAAATCCCCTTTGGCCCAAAAAACATTTTCCCCATAGGCCACCATTATAAACCAAATGTCTGTAAAATTGATCAATGGAGGCTTTATATTTGTAAATCTTTCCTCAAGCCAACAAAAGCGGTTTTAAAATCACTGACATCATCACAATGTAAATTCTATGAGGTGAGCAAGAACTTGTGGGCAGGGCCGGCAAGAAAAAACATAGTCAGTGGGCCGCATACCCGGCGAGTAAACCTAGAAGCTAAAAATGTTTTGGTGTACGCACCAGCCAAGTAATTACCTTTGAAAGAATAACCGTTATCTTGGAGTCCAGTATCTGGTTATTATACATTTATGGCACCACTGAGCTAGCTAATACTACAGCTCAGAGTAACCAGGTCGTGATTTCTGGAAAGGAACATTGCTGTTGAGTTGAGTCAAATGTTTGTTTTTGTTTTGCTTTGGGGTTTTTTGGTCCTTTGAACACCACAAGCTGAGTGCCATGTGCTTCCATTATATCCGAGAGCAAGCTGCCATCTCTACAGCAAATATCTCCAACACTCAGTAACTTGCACCAAAACAGTCTAGACTGATAAACAGCACTACGGGTAAGAAGAACAATTAGGTATTTTTGATTTAGAGGTGAATTCCCTTTAAAATGTTTAACGGCCGTTATTTAAATGCTTTTTGTCTTGTGTTTTTTTCACAGCCCATGGACAGCTTATGGAGTGATGGTTCAGTGTCTGATGTGGAGAGCTGGGCCGCAAGCACCTGGGATAGACGCAAAAAATGTCTTGCAATACGTCGGTCAGGTACAGTTCCTAAATCAGCTGACTCTGGGCAGGAAATGTGGTAAACCTGTTTCTAAATCAATAAAAATAGTGACTTTATTGTCTTGTTTTCTTCTTAGACCTCCTGAATAAGTGGTATTGTGAAGACATGCTTCCCTTTGTGTGTGGAACAAGACCAGGTGGACTGTTTTAAATATACCACAATGCTCTTAATCAGGAAAAACATCATTGTGTATTTTAGAGCCAAGTGTGTGCAGTCTCTTCCAGTCTGCATGCGAAATCACATGAAACCATCTTAAAACCAAGTATAACATTCAAACATGCTGTATTTATAAAAATAACAGCAGTTTCTGTGGGACTGGATGTTAGTTATGATGATTGTCTGAACATCTGTCAAGTTCCATCTATAAACAGCAAAATGTACTTATCAAAAGTGAAAGTGCTTATCATGCAGTAAAATGTTCCCTGTCAATATTTAACCCTTCTCACTGATGTTATTGGGTTACTGCTGCATTCATGTGTATGTTGCATGTTACCGCTGTCGATGTTTCAGGTTGTGCTCATTTGAGCTAGTTCATATACTGCTGGGTAGTTTAATTTTACAGCAATGCATCATACTTTATAAGATCATTATATGTTTGTAGCATGGCTGTCCTGTGAGAACCACATACCTCTAAAAAGTCAACTTTTCCCTGCCCTGTTTTCAGCTTTGCGACGATGCATTTTCCAGCTGATCCAAGAGGGTTTCTAGAGAGTTTATTTAGCTTAAGTAGTGGCAGAATTTTATGCCATATATAAAACTGGAATCTGAAAAGTAGCTTAAGTTATCAGACAAATGTAGTGAAGTAAAAAATACAATGTGTAGTGAAGTGTAAAGGCTCATCAAATGGAAATACTCCACTTTCAAAACAAGAAAAAAGCTCATCAAACATGACGCTTTATAAACACAAAATTATTTATATAGCAATATAATGGGCTTCACGACGAAAAATATACTTAAAGAAAATATGTAAAGGTACAAGATTTACAAGGATATATTGGCAGAAATTCAATATAATATTATATGTCTTCTTTAGTGTGTAATCATCTGAAAAGAAGAATCATTGTGGGGGTTTTTTTATCTTGGAATTAGCTGTTTACATCTACATAGGGAGTGGATCCTGGTCTACAGAGATCGCCATGTTGCCCCGCCATGTTTCTACAGTAGCCAGAGCAGACAAACCAAACACTGGCTCCAAACAGGACCATTCGCAGTTTTGCGTGTTCATATTTTAGTGTTAGCCACTGTAGTTTACTGATTTTCTCTTAATGTGAACTAGCTTTAGTCAGTGTTTTTACCAGTTTAAATCACCTGGTTCATTTGTTTGGGAGAGAAGGAGACCTCTGCAGATAATTCCACTCCTGGTAAAAACCTCCTGAATAATGAACAAGGAATTCTAACCAGGAGAAGTTTCAGTCTGCAGTCCTCACCACTAAAATCCCAATAATCTTATATACTTAAACTTTAAGGCAATGAAAGTAAGAAAAAAAACACTGACCACAAATTCAACAGATGCGTACAATTTAAACTACATAACAAGATCCAGAGCTGTCACCATAGACTGTTTAAACAATGGACATAGCCACCATGACGTCATCCATTGGTTTGTGGACTCGAAGCCCCCTGGAACAGCAAGCCAATTTTATATAGTGGCCAAATGTGGAATTACACCATCCAGGTCCATCATGTTATGCCACTGGGCCTAAATAGACTTTTTCCTATAGACTTACGTTGGGAGAGTGATGTCTGTGTATCAGTGGATAACATTTTCCTAAAGTCACAACCCCTGCAAAATGATTCATTTAATCTGAATTTGATCCGTTCAGTTCTATAACATTTCTTAAGTCTAGAAAAGTGACACGATTAAATAGTTTTATCCCCATACAAGTGAGCAGAGTGCTAAACCAGCTCAATACAATTAAATTTAAACCGCACAAATCAAGCTTTTTAGCTTCATAATCTTGTTTTTGGAGTCAGAGGTGACCATATTTGGACAAGAGGGTGGGCATGACTTATATACTGTAGCAACGATTCACAGTCTGCCCCAACAGTTGTCATAAAGAGGTAAACTAGCTATAGAAACCAAAACATTTTTTAACATGGGGGTCTATGGGGACCGACTCGCTTCTGGAGCCAGCCTCAAGTGGCCATTAGAGGAACAGCAGTTTTTGGCACCTCTGCAGTTGGCTACTGTTAAACTTCAATTCCCAAAACTTCAACTGCCCAAGAACACTGGCTGATGTTTTCTATCAGTTCAGAGTAATTTATTTAGGGAAATTAAAGTGCCATTAAATAGATATCTTTGTTTTCTGGCTTTAAAAACAGGAACGTTTGAGAAGGTGGAGGCTGTGCAGGTGGTGGAGAAACAGGAAGAGAGCAAGATGCCCGATGATGACAAGCAGAGCTGGCACAGCTGTCCTGCCAGTTGGTCCAAATATGGATCCAGATGTTTTACCATCATCCCCAGAGAGATGCCCTGGATAGATGCAGAGGTAGAGCCTGATACTGCACATATATACATACTATATTTGTGTGTGTTCATGTATACAAAGCTATATCTCCTCTTTACAGGAATATTGTTTGAGTAACGGTGCCAACCTGGCCTCCATCCACAACCCAGGAGAGTATGGGTTCATTCAGGAGATGATAAGAGGGAACACAGGTCGTAACCTTCGAGCCTGGATTGGTGGCACTAACGCAGTTAAGGTAAAGAGGAACTTGATTTACTGAAATAATGCTACAACAGAGGGTTCAAGTCAAAGTAAGTGTAAAAGTAAATGATTTTAGGTTGTGTCACTCTTTGACATAACTTGATGTAACTGTCTTTCAGGACCAGACCTGGCTCTGGAGTGATGGATCAGGATTTAATTTCCAGAACTGGGGCATAGGAGAGCCCAACAATCTTGGTGGCCAAGAGAAGTGCCTTGAGATGATAGGTACAGTGAGGTCATTTTTTCTCCTTACTCAGTTCTGATAGATAGGATAGGAAATCTGACGATTTATTACATAAACCACGAATAGTTGTGAAATCTAGATTGTAAATGTGACTTTTCTCTCTTGTCTCGTTATTAGAGGACTACCGCTGGAACGATCTGCCCTGTGAGTCAAAGCTTGCTTTTGTCTGTGGAACAAGACCATAAAGTCCAGTTTAAAAGTATTTTGGATCCTTATTTCTGTGTCTTGACCTGCAAGTGTGCACAAACCCTGTGCCGAACAATACGTTTTAATCACACAGAAAGACACATAAGACCATAACCCAGACATCACTTAGAAAAATAAATCTATGTGAGACCTCACAAAATTTAGTGAAACCTTCACATAAAGGTGTTTGTTCTTAGAAATGTAATAAAATTTAAAGAGTAATAAAGTAATATTAGATTACTGAAAACACTGTTTGTGTCTCTTACTTAATTTCTCTGTGATGAGTTGAGTTTCAAACAAGAAAAAATATATGTATATTGTCAGCAATTCACTGCCCAAAAAGACTTTCTCCCAACCTGATCTCACAGAAATACGTGAAATGACCACGACCTCTTAACACCGTATTCTGTGTTGGCAGCACGTAATGAGTTAAAATTACGTGCCGGTACCACGGAAACAATGCCAATGTAAAGTCAATTAGGATACATTGTCGCGGTGGACACACAGATTCCCTGATTCAACAACGTCACGTCAACCTCGTTTTCCTCAGTGATATCTTTAACATTCCTGTACACACACAAAAACACGGAAGTGTCCTTGATAACTCAACAATATGACAGGTTAATGTCAAGGCCATAAAATAAAATAAATGTATTTGCCAGCTTTTGATAGCATAGGGCTTTAAGAGCATTGTGCTGTGGGCGGAGGGGGTGCATTCCACTACTGTTTTGTAGCAACTGTCTGCCGTCTGTGGGCTTCATTCCATTTCAAATTGCCGTCCGTCTGCCTTAACAAACCCCACTAATAAATAAATAAATAAATAAATAAATAAGAAGAAGAAAATAAGGCTGAGCACGGAAGAACCAGAGAGGAAACACCATCACATGGAGCCGCTACCCCTGGCAACCCAGCCACCCTCCACTCTACCAGGGGAGAGCGGACCCCAAGCCAGCGCCGCAGAACCAGCGACCACCACAGTCTGCCCCAACAGTTGTCATGGAGAGGTAAATAAGCTGTAGAAACCAAAACATTTTTTTGTATCAGGCTGTAAACATGTTTATTTCTGCTGTAAATTTGGGCATTTTAATGCGGGGGTCTATGGGGACTGACTCGCTTCTGGAGCCAGCCACAAGTGGCCATTAGAGGAACAGCAGGTTTTGGCACTCTTGCAGTTGGCTTCAGTTTTCAGCCCCGGAGGTTGCTGCTTGGTTGTCACTGATAACACTCTTCACAATATAAATTTTTATTACCAATACTTGTTCACTTTTTCAACATTTTATAGAGGACCTGTCATGTAAGAAAGTATTATTGATGCATTACTTCCTTTGTTTATGAAGGTAATTTAGGTTTTTTTCATGAGCTGTTGTGAACAGGTGAACAGGTCCCTTCCTATCCTATAAATCTGTCCTTGTGTGACCCCTTTACTGGTAATGCTTTGTCAATAATGGTTCACCTGAACAGCTCTTAAACCTACTAACACTTTCTTAATGTATAATCATCCAAATGATAAATTCCCACTGTAAACCTTTGTCAACCTGATATCTTTGGAACTTTAATTCTGAACTTTGGAGTGATTTTTTTTTTTAAATGGTGTCAGCTGTGAGTTATCTTTGACTGAACCCAGTAATACCAATACCAATCAGTTTTTTTTCCAGGTTAGTTAGAACATAATACCGCCATAAAATATGACGCTCAGTTGGGAACTGATCTGAAGAGTAGATCCATCTGCCCGGAAGATGCAGTATAAATTGATCAAACTGTACTGATAGCTGCAGTCAATAAATAAAGTGAACTTTGGAAGTGTGATAACTTTTGGGTCATTATTTCAAATTAATATTTATTTCCCTGTTGTTGGTGTATATAAGCTCTCTTCACGCCACGTCCTGCAGACACTGACACATTTGATTCTGTTCAAGCAGGTGAGATTGCTAAGTTACATGTATTTTATATAGATATCTGTATATCCACTGCTTTCATAAGACAAAGTCATCTCTTTGTTTGTTTTACATGTGACTTTCTAATCATCTCTTGCAGCAGTCCATTCATCGCTGTAAACAATGAGGCTTGTTTTTCTTCTCTGTGCTGCCTTCGCTCTGAGTGCTGCAGGTGAGGTGTAGAGAGAGGATGAAACTTCAAATCGTTTTCATCTTTTAAAAGGTTACACCGATTGGCCCTGATGGAAAACTATTCACTCACTGAAATGTAAAATATATGCACATATCACTCAAAGGCGTGAACTGACCACATGGACGCTCAGCTCTCTTTACTCAAAAACAAACAAATAAACCACATCTACATTACTGGTGCACTTTTGATTAAGCTTAAAAAATGTGATATATAACCAACTTGCAAAGTACATGGCAGAAGTTCCTAAGGATAATTATCTTCTTCTTTAACAGGTCCAATAGAGGAGATGATGGACATCCAGCAGAACATACAGCAGGGTGAGACTCTGTCAATTACTCATCTCCTGTCACATTTAATTTGTGAAGACAACTGTGTTTTTCTTGCATGCTTCCGTTGTGAACAAAGAATCCAAAAAACAGAAAATCCTTGATGACTTGGAGTAAAAAAAAAGGGTGTAATATTCCTTTAATGGGTTAAAATTCATTTTATCAGAATCCTGTTTTCCCAAGAACACTGGCTGATGTTTTCTAGCAGTTCAGAGTGATATATTTAGGGAAATTAAAGTGCCATTAAATAGATATCTTTCTTCTCTGGCTTTAAAAACAGGAACGTTTGAGAAGGTGGAGGCTGTGCCGGTGGTGGAGAAACAGGAAGAGAGCAAGATGCCAGATGATGACAAGCAGAGCAGGCACAGCTGTCCTGCCAGTTGGTCCAAATATGGATCCAGATGTTTTACCTTCATCCCCAGAGAGATGCCCTGGATAGATGCAGAGGTAGAGCCTGATACTGCACATATATACATACTATATGGTGTCTGTATTCAAGTACACAAAACTATATCTCCTCTTTACAGAAATATTGTTTGAGTAACGGTGCCAACCTGGCCTCCATCCACAACCCAGGAGAGTATGGGTTCATTCAGGAGATGATAAAAGGGAAAACGGGTCGTTACCCTCGAACCTGGATCGGCGGCACCGATGGAATTAAGGTACAGAGGAACTTAAAATTACCAAAATCATTCTACAGCAAAGGGTTTAAGTCAAAGTAAGTGTAAAAGTAAATGATTTTAGGTTGTGTCAGTCTTTGAGATAACTTGATGTAACTGTCTTTCAGGACGGGACCTGGTTCTGGAGTGATGGATCAGGATTTAATTTCCAGAACTGGGGCATAGGAGAGCCCAACAATGCTGGTGGCCAAAAGAAGTGCCTTGAGATGAACCGCTCAGGTACAGTGAGGTCATTTTTTCTCCTGACAGTGTGTTACATAAACCCCATATTGTTGTGAAATCCAGATTGTAAATGTGACTTTTCTCTTTTGTCTCCTTGTCAGAGGACCTGCTCTGGAACGATCTGCCCTGTGAGTTAGAGCTCGCTTTCGTCTGTGGAACAAGACCATAAAGTCCAGTTTAAAAGTATTTTGGATCCTTATTTCTGTGTCTTGACCTGCAAGTGTGCACAAACCCTGTGCCGATTAATACGTTTTAATCACACAGAAAGACACATAAGTACCCAGACATCACTTAGAAAAATAAATCTAGGTTAGACCTCACAAGGTTTAGTGAAACCTTCACATAAAGGTGTTTGTTCTTAGTTCAATTCAAATAAACACAAGAAGTTTGTGCTCTAATAAAAAAAAAAAAAAAAAGGGATCAGCACTCAGTGAATAATCCTCCTAAGCCCTACGATAAGCTATTATGGCAAGGCTTAACTATACAGACCTGTGAGCAGTGATAACTAACATGTCTTTGGGGTCATCGGGTGGGAACCTCCTTTCACCGGTGTTTCGTCTAGTTAGTCCCACGACACCTCCAGGAGGCTAGACAGTGATCTCTGGCGTCCCAGAGACACTCCCCTAATGCCAGGTCTCACTGCTCCCCACACTAACCGAACAACCTCCTTTACCTTACCTATACTACCACAGAGGAGGTAGACCCAGGGAAGGAAGCCTTGTTAGGCTATCACACTCCCCCGCTGGGTTAGGCTGTACAGTCTACCTCCCCAGGACGAGCCCTCACAACAATGACACCTCCAGGAGGCTGGACAGTGATCTCAGCCCAAACAGCACTGCCACCTTCAACCAAGCCCAGGCTCCGTTTATGCGAGCTCCAGGCAGAAGCAAAATGTAATAAAATTTAAAGAGTAATAAAGTAAGATTTGATTACTGAAAAGACTACTTGTGTCTCTTACTTAATTTCTCTGTGATGAGTTGAGTTTCAAACAAGAAAATATATATATATATTGTCAGCATTCAACACTGGCGGTCTCAGCCATTATCAAACTCACAAGGCATTGTGGGAGGTGTAGTGTTTGAGTGCTAACAAAACAACCAAGGTCCTCAAATAGAGCAGAACACTTAAAGGGATAGTGCACCCAAAAATGAAAATTCAGCCATTATCTACATAAAAAGTTGTTTGGAAAAACATTGAACTCAAAAACAAAACATTGTCATTTGAACTCTGTTTTTAGCCTCATTGTAGCCTGTAGCTCTAACTGTGTGTGCGCTTGAGCATGTGAACACTAAAGGCTAAAAACAGGGTTCAAATTACGTTTTTCAAACAACTTTTTATGTCGGGGCTTCAGGACACTTGGATAACTATGGGCGAGCAGTATGGAGATATTGTGGTTTCAATTATGTGTTTTTGGATGTTTGAATCTGGGGCACCGTAAGCCTCCATTAGGTGGAGTTGTGTTGCTACCCCCTCTCCCCTGGGATCTCTGCAAGTGATGTGAGGACTCTAAAATTTCACCTGAGCCTCCCTCGGCATATGGGTGAGTAGATAATGGGTGAATTTTCATTTTTGGGTGGATTTTGCGACAGCTGAAGTCCGAGTGGGGTGGGCAGGAGGGGTGGTGGATGGATCCAACAAACACAAACTTTCACCAGAGAGAGGTGACTGTGTCCCGTAAGATTCTAAAGCCAAACCCTGTTCTTATTTCCTGAACCTAACCACATGCTTTTGTTGCCTAAACCTAACCACGTCAATTTGCGGTTTGTACCGACGTAAATTTCCTGTGAAAACAGAAGTGTATCTTGAAAGACAAAGCATGTTTGCAACAACAGCATGCAACAACTGCTGTAAACATAAAAAATAACTTCAAAAAACATAAAATGCCTCCATACTGTTCGTCTGGTGTAATCCAAGTCTCCCGAAGCCCCAAAATGCCAAGTTGACTTGAAAAGACAGCTTTTACACCGCGTTTTTAGCCGAAATCCTCAGGTTCTTCGCTCTGATGGAGTGCACGTGAACACAGCTCCCAGGTAAAAACTACAGCAAGGATTTAGGCTAAAAACATGGTGTATTGTTTGTCCCCATGTACTTGACAAAAAGGCAGTAGTGGAGGAAGTATTCAGATCCTTCATTGCAGTAAAAGTATTAATAATACCACACGGTAAAATACTCCACTACAGGTGAAAGTCCTGCATTCAACATGATACTTAAGTAAAAGTAACAATGTTAAGTATCATTAACAAAATGTACTTGAAGTACTTAATGTAAAAGTAGTCATCATGCAGTAAAATGTTTCTTGTCATATCTGATGGTTTGGGATCACTGTTACTGCTGTATTAATGTATAATTAATTTTAACTCCTTTATATATTGTTGGGTAGTTTAATCTACAGGAATGCATCATATTCTGTAAGATAGATTTATAGTAAGATAATGTTATGAGGCCCTATACACGTTCCTGTAAAGTGAACTGTGCAATCTTGCAAACATGGGCTCAGGACCTTGGGGTGCAGATAGATGAAGCTACAGGGATAGATATTTAATATCATGCTCATAACATATCCATGGTCAGGGAATATTGCGAAAATCTAGGAATAAATTCTTACCAAAACATTTCTTTATCAATGTGTTTGTAAAGGTGTCTAATAACATATATAAAAAGGTTTAAATTCAACTCCCATAGGAAAATCCGTGACAGTTGCTGAAATTTCGGGTACCCTGAACCTTATCGGAGAAAAATTGAAATTGTTTACCTCTGCCTCAAGTAGCTTGTGAGGGGTAAAACTAGAGGTTTTTCAGGATTTTGAATTGATTGCAAGCATTTGTTTTGCACCAAAACCACTCCTTGGTGGAAAAAAGGGCCACGCCTAGTTTTACTTGTAAATTTTAAAATCAATCAACCTTTTTATTTAGACTCCAGGTCCATTAAAAAAAACAGACAAACATACAATATTTAAAAAAGACAGTCATACCAGTGTTTCCACATAGTAGGCTGGTATCGTACAGTACTGAGGACAGGGTTAGTCAACATCATTATAATGGCATTACAAGAACTGTTAAGTCGACATATAAATTTGAATATCAATCGTCTCAAAAGAGCATGAAATGTGATTACTTGTACTTTACAAAAAAGTTCACTTGCACTATACCATCTTGGTTTCCCAAGCAAAATTCGCAGACAATCATTATACGCAACCTGAAGTTTGCTGATGCTGGTCTTTTTAAACTTAATCCACAAGGGCGCAGTATAAAAAGGGGTGCAGTAAGCCCTGAAAAGACTCACTTTAACCTCTATTCAACAAATTTGCCTGCATATATAAAATACGATGCTGTCTGTTCATATCATCATCATCCGTCATATCATCAGTGATGATGTGTCCCAGATATTTTGTTTTAGAGCAAGCAGGGAGCACTTGTCCTGACAGGTAAAAAGATGGAAAAGTGAGGTCCTTATCCCCTTTTACTCTGCAAATCATAACAGAACTCTTCTTAGCGTTATAATTCACATCAAATTTTACACTATAATCAGAACCCATGTTGAGCAGCTCTTGAAACCCAGGACTGCTAGGCGAAACAATTGCCAAATCATCAGTATACATAAGATGATTAATAAGTACACTACCAACCATACAACCTGTTTTACAATTTCTTAACTGGTCTGAAAGATCATTCATATAAATATTAAAGAGGCATGGTGACAAAAGCCCCCCCTGTTGAACGCCATTACTTGTCCCAAATGGAGCAGAGACAGCATTTCCCCATTTAATCTGCATGCTCTGGTTTGAGTACCAATAAGACAGGATCCTTATAAAACTGTCAGGCACTCCCCTCTGATGTAATTTTAAAAACAATTTAGAATTATTTATACTGTCAAATGCCTTTGATGCATCTATGAAACCAATTAAAACAGTAGAGTTCTGTCTTCTATATTTTTCCATCATTTCCTTCAGTGCATAGATACATAAATCAGTACTATGTTTAGCCTTAAAGCCAAACTGGTTATCAGAGGTGCAAAGATATACACATAATCTTGGACAGCACACTGGCTAGAGCAATTGGCCGATAATTATCAATACTCCCCACCCTGCCCACTTTGTCCTTGATGACAGGCACCAAAGTAAAGGACAACATAGAGTCTGGTAACACACCATGACTCATGAAACCTGTAAAACAAATAGCAAGGAGAACCGCTGCCCTCGGGCTTGCCAGTTTAAGGTGCTCTGCAGACATTTCATCTGAGCCACATGCTTTATTATCAGCTAACTCTGAGATGGCTTGAAAAACTTCCTTAGCTGCGATTTGCATAGTGTCAGAATTGACAATCTCACCCACTATGTAGGGGTCACACTTAACACAATTAAATAGTGCAGAGTAATGTTTCCTCCACACCTCAGCTATGTTATCAACACCAGAGACCCTCTCTAAGGTACATGGTAAAGATGTGGTGTTTGTGTTCAAAGCTCTCACCTCCTTCCAAAAACCAGTAATATCATTATCAAGGAGCTTTTCTGCCATAGAGTCCGCTCTCATTTGTTGTGCATGTTTGTTGACATAACGAACTGCATATTTATAATTAGAATTAGTAAACTTAAAAGTAGCTTTATTCATTTATTTCAATATCTCGAATACAACAATACTGCTCTACAATGTCAAATGTCTCCGGGATCTAGGTCTGAGTCTTCTCCAGACATCATTATGGATACAGTTCTTGCATGTAATGCCTCTACAACTTCTGCATGCTGAGATACATGAAACCATTCTTCTTGCAGCTGCACTGCCGGTTGCGGCAATCTTCATTACAATTACAGTTTGTGAACTGGAGTAGCTACTCACGGCTGTGATTGTCTTCGGCACTTGGCCTGCGGCCTCGTGCCTATGACCAAATCACAGCTGTGACATATACGAGTATAACATCACTCCCTCTTGTGTGATATTGCTTAAATAACAAATGCTGCTCCACCATGTTTTGTTCTGACCCTTAGGATGGTCAGTAGGCCAGCCCCAGATGTCCTCAGGGTCCTAGAAGGTTCATATGTCACAAGCATGTCAGAGGTATATTTGGGTGCTGAGCCACAGAGTGATTTATACACAAGCAGCAAGATTTTGTAATCAATTCTCAGGTAGTCAGTGTAAGGATTTTAGAACTGGAGTAATATCATATTTCCTATAT